AGGAATGAGTTATACTTGTTATTATGATTGAAGTACTAGTCTGTTCCTGCTCCACATCAGTAACAGGTATAGGACATACTCCTCATCTCTGCTAAGCCCAGTAATTTCTGACCTTTGTTGTTGCTCTGTCATGGAATGTTAAGGTTGGTCAGCAGAACATGCTTCAGGAACCAAAAGAGGTTGGTGACATGCCATTGCTGTGCTGGTTGTGATTCGTTTGTGAAGGAGTTTGTATAATTAATTTGATTCCCTGCTATGAAGTATCAGAATTGATAATACTCATACTGGGATAGACAAGGTTGGTTCAGAAAGTTGAAGTAATGGATTTATTGTCATAACTGATTATGTAAATTTGAGATTACACAACACTGCCACAAAGTATTGTCCTTGGACAGCTACATACTTTTTCCATTTGCTGTACAGTTCTTGGAAGCATCACTGGAAATCATCAAGCTCTTCAGAGCAGCTGTCGTAGCGTCTTTTGCCTCATCCATACTACTGAAATTCCATCCCTTTAATTGAGATTTCACCCCCTGAAAGAAGTGAAAAGTGCAAATGCAAGAAATCCAGGGAGTATGGAACTTATGGCATTATTGTCATCTTGATATTAGTCAGTTAACTCCGATGCTGACATCTTGACTACTGACAAGGAAAATGTCCATCCAATCGAATAATTGAGCACACTGCACTTTATCACCATTTAGTGGACAAACCTGTGAAGCATGCGGCACATTGCACATTTCCTGGTGACACTTCATTAAAAGATCTCTACTTTTATTTCATTGTTTATGACTGCTACATTAAATTCATTATCAGAACTTTCTGAACCAATTTCATAACATTGATTGATTATTCTGGTCAACTTATGCTCACTTATAGTAACTATATAATATTAGTGTCTGTTTCAGATTTTGTGATAAGTCATCAAATTGTTACTTCTTAAATGAAATGATGGTTTTCAGTAAGAAAGCTACGGTATTGTTTATAGGACAGAAACTTTGAGAAGTCGGTCATTTTGTCTGTCACAGTCCATGGATCTTGTCTAGTTCAGTTCAGCTCTGGTGTTCATTTTGTCAGTCACATGCTGTTTCTAATACAAGTGTAGGTCTGATTCACCAACAGGTTGCTGACAGCTTGACTTAGCAGTATGGTCTATTCTAATGTGATGCATTCATCACACATACATTGTTTTCTGTAAATAAATTATTGTATAGCATAGTTTCTTTAAATGTGTTTATTTTAAGAATTGTTTTAGCCTTTTCTTCATAGTATTTGTACTGCACATTAATAAGATCTGTAACAATACTTTTCCTTTGTCAGTACCTACAGTACACTGTTTTTGATGATTATGTGACATTCCATTGGGAGTCCATTGTTTGATTGATCAGGATGACTTTTGTATATCCCATATTTATTAAGTAGCTTTTTGTTGCACGTTCATTCAAAAAAATAAACTTTTTTTTTTGCAAGGGAGGTGCGTGGGAGGGAAATTTTATAATGTGAACATTGTACCTTATCATGTTGAATGTAAATATTGTATTGAGAACATACCACTCAAGTACTCAGCATTGCTGTTAGGTGAAGTGTTACATTTTGGAAGGTAGCACTGACAATGTTGACTGCTTATGGGTCAATTTGTAAAGTAATAGTAGTAGTAGTAAAAGTAGTAGTACTGACCAAACATAGATTTATCGGCATATTAGTGTTATATGATATGAGAATTGTCATTACGGCGTAATAGTTAAGATAAGTGTGTAATGCTGAAACATATTGTTGAGTCATTTTGGTTTGAAGAGCCAAGACAAATCAGACGTGTTACCTCCTGCAGAGCAATAAGACACACACTTCACTTCTCTACTTTATTGCTCTTTGTTTAGAAGTAGATGTGCAGTGTTGAGAACTCAGTTATGTTTACTCTCTGGAAAAGTCAGAATAAGGACCCATAACAACATGCTTATGGTGGCAGTTATATTTCTTCCCTTTATTCAGTGTTAAATAAACAGTTTTCTTCTAGGACACTGTTTCTCATCTGGTATGCTGTGACATTTTGAATTCAAGTATCTCTACAAATTTAACAGTAATTATAAATGTGTGGTGATAGCAGTCAGTTCTTGTTCAGCCCTGTTTTGTCATCTCACCGTCCTGTGTTGCTGTTTCTTTGTCAGACTCTTGCTGACTCAATGTTTTTTATTTCTATTTCTTATATACTGTAGTCTTTCATACAGCCATTCGAGCTCAGTCTTTAGTTGATCACTCTCATGTTTATTGTTTGTTCTTAAATAGCCCTTGCAGAAATTATACAAAGTGCATAACTAAATATCAATAACATGAACATGGTGTTTATAATGAATGGTGTCCCACTAGATGTTTGTACTTTCTTTTTTCTTTTTGTATTATCAATGTGCTTTGTTGTTCCATGACCTATTACTCTGTTATATGACATTAGCTTTCATGGGCTTGGGTACAGCTTCAAACACTTCATAGCAGTATTATCCTAGCTTTAAGTAACAGTTCTTTAGTGACCATGTATAGAATAAACATTTTATTGAGTTCAGTCACTGTGAAAGCTTCGAAGTCTTGTACGTTTTAAAATGCTAATAGAATTTGAAACTACAGGCAAGTTGAAGTGCTATGAAATTTGCCGATTTCTTTAATTTTGCCCCCATTGATAGGCTATTCGTTCTTTTATTTTGAGTATTCACTTAATCAAATGACATTTTAGTCTATATGCTTCTAAACTTCACTGCAAATGAAGACAACCATGAAATTACTTTAATATGGTAACATTATTGAGGTACTGCTCAGCACTGCAACCACGTTTCCTAATTTGGAATGGATCTCTGTTGCCCAGTGAATTAACAGTGTGATGAATTTATCACTGCTGCATTGAGAATGATAGCATAATAGTCATGTTCCACTAAATTAGAACAAACTTGGGGTAAATATGCATGTATTACCAATATGTATTTAAATGGCTTACATTATTGACATAGATGATAAAAAAAATAATATTTATGGCTACTTGAAAAAATGTAAAGAATTATCACAAAACTTGTAGGACCATCTTCATTGAGTCATATCAGATGAATTTTTATCACTAAAAAATGTTTTGTTTCATAATTTTTATGTTGCCAAAGTCTTAGTCATGTCATTTTTGCCTGTCATCATCACAAATTGTTTTGGTACATTGATGTGTTATACCAGTGTGACATGATCATATAGTAACAACAAATAAAGTACGTGTTTAAAAGTCAGTCTTCTGTTTCTCCCATTTAACATAATTATGTGGATTGTGTTCTTTTGGGTTTTTATGCCTTGTAATCTTGTAGGTCATTACCAAATCCTCAAGAGGAATGCTGGTAACCCACCTATAAGACTATGTCACAACCCACATTTTCAGTAATATTTTGTGTTTAAGAAAACTGTTAAGTTCTATCCTCAAAGTCTGTGTACCTTTCCTTTCTTTCCTATAGGGCTTCTCAATGAAACAGCAGATTAATGACTAGGCTTGGCCAAAATGGGGTGACTGATATTGGAGCAGCCAAGTATCTGTGCTTCTCATATAACCTTGTTGCATCCAGATTTGCTTGTGGGTACATTACTACATAGAAGTACTAAAACTTGCCTATATTGTGTGTCATACAACTACAGAAATCAGTTATGTAGTTCTGACCAATTAGAGGACTGACTTTTTTTTATATTTTACAACAGTTTATGCCATGACATTTTTATCAAAAAGATGTACAGTTTTTGATAACTGACAGTGTAAAAACATGCTTCATGGGCTGCAACATGAATTACAAAGGCCACAAAGATCACATCATTCTGTATAGAAAACTTTATTGAGGAACTTTTGGATGTCTTACACAACACAATAAATGCAAGTAGTACCTGTTTCCAGCCTAATTTTTACATAATTCATCCAAAAATGTGATACATTCATCAGGTACTTTGTTCTGCGTTCAACATATGGAACACCTAATTCTACAAACGCCACATAAGGTCTGCCCAATATGCATAATTAGTAACAAAAGACAGATAAGTCACATTCCATTTCTGATCACACATAATGAAAGAAGTGCATGTACTGGTTATGTGTTTGTTGAGAAAGTAAACATTAATCATGAAGCATATTTTCCATAAATACTGTTTTCTTACTATTGGCAACTTCATGTCCCAATATACAGTCATCAACTACTGTAGTACAGTACACTACAAAGTTTGCATAAAACAAAACAATAATTCTAACACAAACTATTTTAAGAAAGGAACATTGTTAAACTTCAATGGAACTTATAATAATAGTATGCTGAGTTGGTAGCCAAGGTTCTGCTCATTCATCTAAATAAATAAACTCAAAACACTCAACTGTAAGTAGAAATGAACAGTTCACTAACATGTCTCAGAAATATCTTGCAAGCTATGAACTAGGTGGACCAAACTGAACAACGGGATTTTGAACCATTCTTGTTCAAGAATTCCAAGGTTTGATCTTTGAGGCCAGTGATCACAAGGTCTGTGTCCCTTATAGTAAATTAAGGGTTCTACTTTTAAAATAAGTGGTGATCACTTTTATTGATACTTTCATAAGCCTCAAAGCAAAACTGTGAGATACAGATACAGCTGTGGAAACAACAAAACTATCACAAACTGCAGTTTCAATTACAGAAATGTGTTGGTAATGCACTAAGAAAGGGAAAGCATTCAGATAGATTTTGTGTTTCTTTAAAACATTGCAAGGAAACATGTTCACACTTGTTTCTGGTACAATTCAAAAATGAATTAAAAGGATTCTTTCTTTGTGCCCCCCTATAGTCATGGCTTATGAAAATGTCATGGACAAATATATTTTTCAAAATTAGAAAAAAAACAATAGATGACAGTATGGCTTCAGAAAGTTGTTCATTTTTACTTACAACTGGATTCCTTATAAATAACAAGCTACTTTATTTGTATGATGCAATCTTTCAACATGGCCTTACCAACTGATGTTAATGTATTACTGAACAGATATTACATTACAATTACAAATCTAAGACACCACATGACCATATATAGAAATTAAATAACAAAGTCGTCATAATACAGCTTTATTAGGCAAGACTGGACGAAGACATTGCAAGGTACTAAGCTATGGTTACGTGGACAGACTATCCATGACAATACATTTCAGTATTTAAGGCCCCTCAAATGGCGAGGTTCTAAGCTCTGGCTAATTTATGTCGTACAAAAATCCTGTTCAGTCAGTCAGATTCAGTGGTTAATAAGCTCCAGTCTACAAACCTCACAGCTGCCCCTAAACTCCATGTTAATAACTGCTCATCAAAGCATCATTAATAACACTGCGGACAGAACTAGTTCACTCTCAAACAGAAGATTAAATATAACAGAAAATAAATAAACTGACAGTAAGAGAAATAAAATACAATAACAGTACAACATGAACAATTATCTTAATGAGATGCAAATATTATATATTTAGAAACTTAATTTTAAGATAAAACTTAAAGGTATAATAAATATGAATCAAAGCATATAAGGGCAAAAAGATGTATTCCAATTTTATGAGTTTTTATTTTTTACGAGTGTAAATCTATTGTTTACACCTTAATCAAGAGAGCAAACATTAGACAGCATAGAAACATTCTTCTACTTTGTTAATTAGATATATGCCATACTGTGAACTGTAAACTTCCAGTTTTCTGAAATATGATGCCTCTGATATATGCAAACCATGTATGATCAGTACATACAATTACCCACTGTACTAAAAACTAAACATGTCTATATTTGTGGGTAAACTGTTCTAGAAATGTAGAGTTTGCACTAGATGAAGGTTATATAAAATTTCATGAATATTGATATTTCATCCATTAACCTTCAACAGTTATATGAAATAGAACACTTTCCCTAAAGTGAGCTTTAAGCATAGTGAAGTATGGGTGAATGCACTGTGTTTTTAAAATTGATCAGCAGTCCTGTTCTGACAAAAATATGAACTCTCATTTGCAAGTGGAATCCAGTTAGAAAGAACACTGAAATAACATTAGAAATCAAATTTTGTGACTGGATTAACCATGATGCTAGTGATGAAATGCCAAAATCAGATTATGCATACTCTGATGATAGGATTTCATGACTCCTTGCATCTGTCCTCTGTGATAATAAATGTCAATGTAACAATGGAAGGCATCATAGTATGAACTGGCTGTAGTCATTTAAAATTAAACATAAATATGAAAGAGAGCATTTAGCATAATTTACGAGCAAGCACAAAATATCAGAAATAGCTGAGCGCAGCAATATTGATTAAAAAAAGTAAACAATATGGAAGCAAACTACAACACTAATTATAAACAGTTTTGGTTTCAGATACTATTCAAATAATAAATACCAAAGTATAATAATTTAGTGGTTAAAAACTCGTGTATGATTTATATAAAACATTTATTGCATTCAGAAGTTCCAAAGTATCACAGGCATTCATCTCTTCCATGCATATATTTCTTTCATCATAAAATATTTATAACAAAATAAGATACATCTGAAAACATGTATAAAGCATCTGCACAGTTGTGATGGCATTTTGAGATCTCAAAAGTAAATGTGTTTACTTATCTATGTGGCACATAAGACATTCAAGTCAAGCACTTCTGGCAGACCAAAAGAAGTAAATGTGTTGTGGCTGGGTGGAAAAATGGGTTACACGGGTCAGCTGACTGATGTCAAAATATAACATTAACTGGAACCAAATTATTACTTTAATACTGTGTTACCTGCGCATTTCTCTTCCCTGGAAGGGTTCAGATAAGGGTGCTAATGTAAATATTCAACACTAATTTATAGTTTAATACTTATGTTCCTTACAAAACCCATCAATCCAACTGAAGCCCCATATAAACAAAAAATGGTCGTGAAAATGGTCTGATGCACCACTGTTTAGGACAAAGGCCCTTACTTTCCAAATTTTGATGATCAAAAACTTGGACACATGATTTACATAAGGATTATACAAATGGTCCATCATGGAAAAACAATACTGTCTACTTCACCTATCAGTAAAAGGGAAACACTTTCTCTGAAAAATTATATATGCCCAATCCAGGATTAACTGGTAACAAATACAGTTTGTCACTGTTATTCTGGGTTGTAGCACAGTGTGTACTTGTAGGTTACAACCCAGAAGATCAACAAAGACATCTTCACACTGCCATAAGAACCTCAGATCTCACATAAAGGATAGCTTATTTTCTTTACATTAATTTCATGTGATTTATTCATGTCTTTTGCTTCAAATGTATCAATAACAGAGAATGATTCTCAGCAAACTGCTAAATATGATGTCTTCCTACTTACTCTGCCCTCTTAGTCGCTTGTGATGGTATACCTGCTGCTATACTCCTCAGATTTGGTGAAGAGATGTTTCATTCATGTTACTTTTTACACATAAGAATAGATATGTGAAATATCATTATCTAACTTTACAGAACAGAGTCCCTTTCGAGAAGCCAAGCCATTCAACTAATCAAAAACCTCCTTGCCTTTTATGGAACCATAGAGTTCATCACAGTGCTCAAAAGAGCCTGACAGTGGACCTTGTACAGAGCCAGATGAATCCAGTCCATATCCTCTGACCATCTCAATATTATCCTCCTGCCATCTATGCCTAGGTCCTCAAGTAGTCTCTTTCTCCCCTTCAGGTTTCCTGACTAAAATGTACACAAAGAAGAATGATATTGTGGAATGAAGTATGCAGCTTTCAGACTCATTTAGTCTCAAATTTTGTGTCAGTATACCTTCTGAACTTCTGAATAAATACAAAATGGCAAGAGCCCTCAAAATAAACAACCTGTGCAGGAAAACAACATTTGGCAATAGAAAGACAGCATTGATGAACCGAAAGGTAAACTACCTGTTGCAATGTCAAAAACATAAAATCAAGTTTGAAGATATTGCACTGAATCACCCTGCAGGGTACCATCTACAACAGAGTCACTTGGTGGAGGTTCTCACGTATCACAGTGTCCATTACAACCTGGAACACAACCTGGATATTTGACGTGTCAGTGGCTGTGGTGAAGTGTGGGTAGATCACCTTTGCTGAGTTGTGGTTGCAAAGAGCAAACTTGTGCTGGATGAACAGAGCACCACGATCCACATCATAATCAGGTCCTGCAACAAAGCATCATCTGTTGCTTGTGGATATACCAGAATCTCAATCTATCATTCACATTAAAGGGATAGATACTGCAATTAAAAACCTTCACATATTTCTTATCCCATATTTTCTTATTTTGTACCTTAGCCAGTACATCCTCTACATTTAATACCAGCAATCATTTAGTCAAGCCATCTCTATCTGGGTATTTCTTTTGAGATTTTTGCTTTTCAATTGCAGAGCTCTTCCACATACTCTGTCTACATTCACTTATCCCATTTCATCTTTAACACATTCAAGCACATACAAACTATTAATTTATTCTCAATCCTGAATATTAATTTCTCCTGCGATGCTTCTAAAAATGTAATGTAATTTGTATTTTACTCTGATGGAATCCATATCTAATCTTTTACATTCTCTGATAAGTTGTACTCAATACTTTACTTCTATACCAATGTCAACTTGCTATACCATGCTGTCCTAAAATTATAAGGTTGCTATTGAAATTTGTCATTAGTTTATTTGCTACAAAGTTGTATGAGTGACAAAACACGTTTCAAAAAGTTAAATGACCTCCCACATTCCCAACTACCCAGGGATACTTTCCTGAAGCTGAACTGTCTGTTACCTTTATAATCTGGAAAATAGAGTCTAAGATGTCTTCCCGAGTATAAGATCTTCTCGCGAAACAAATCAAATTTGTTGAGGAAAAGTACAAAGGATGCTTCTCGGAAGAACCGATTGTTAACAATTTGTGCAAAAAGATTCAAACTTTCATCCAGACGATTTACAGTGGGATCCTCCTGTGAAAACAAACAAACAGCTTACTTCATGTACTTGTTAAACATCACTCCTGGATCAAGATGAATAAGAAGTAATTAACAATACTGATGATGACATTTTATCAGAAGTTCAGTACACAGCCCAGTGAATCCATCACCTTCACATTTTAGGTAGTATGCCATTTACAGTTAAAATAAATTAGTATGATACATTGTTACATGCTTTCATGTAAAGATAATAGTTCAGATATACAAAATACACACTACCATATATGCCTACACATGCATGTGATGTGTTTCAAAACTACAAACCTACCACAAGTGTCATATCATAGCCACTGAGAGAAACAACAAACATTACAGCTCGTACATCATCAAAACAATAAATCCATTTTCTCCGCTGTGACCTCTGACCTCCTACATCAAACATACTGAAAGAGACAAAAAGAACAGCATGAAGTGTGTATACACAGCTGTGCCTGCCTGTGCATCATACACCATTAAACACCACAGTTACATACCTTATAATGATGTCATTTATTTTAAAGTGAGTTTCAATTATTCCATTTGTCCGTACTCTAGCCCGCAGCACGTCCGTTGGTGTGGGAACATACTTTTCATCACATATTCTTTCCATGTTTTCAAACAAACTGTTGGAGTCAATCAGTTTAAGCAGAGAAACATTAGCAAAGAATAAAATTCCAGAGAAAAGAAATGGCAAAACTAAGTTTAAGGTTAATTCTTTTTCAGCTAGTAACACACAAATTTGGTATTATAAAAAAATAAGAAGTTACTGTTAATACATCTTCCATGTGTCTAGAGTCTGAGACCAAATGAGCCGTGACAGCCCTTTTTAGAATCCCAAGAATTAATTTTCTTACATGTTTATATTCCAATATTCACAGAAACAAATAATATCTCTACTCACTATATAGCTGAATCATTGAGTTCATACTCATAGCCACGAGCCACTGCCAATCGAACCCCTCGATCCTGCCACAGGGCTTGAAGAGCTATAGCAACATTTGGTAATATGTTGAAGCTCTTATCAAAACAACTGCTACTTATTAACACTGTCTGGGCATGAGCCTGAAAAGAAAAATTCATATTTACTTTTTGTCAATGTGCATTTTCAATACCAGAAACCATAAATATATTTTACTTTATTTACTTTATTCTTGGCAGACTGGAGATTGATTCTAAGTAGACCCATTCCTGTCAAAACATATTTCATTGATGAAAGTAAATTATCCATAACTGTTGGGCGAAAGCTTCGCAGTTCTTCTTTAGTAAAGCCATCACTGTGAATTATCTTCATCTGCTTTACAAGAGTGCTTTTCCCACTCTCCCCAGCACCTGTAACATTGGAGCTCTAAATGTCCATCCAATAAGTGTTATTTTCACATCTCAAACTCAACAAGTCTTACACAATAAGTTCTTACCCAGTAACAATATTTTAATAACATTGTGCTCCTGTTTGGCAAGTTCCCCAAGCTGTTTGTCAATTTCTTCACTTCTCCTTCTTGCTTTCGATTCTTCTCTGTCCAGTGTTAAACATCCACCCATCCCATTTTGCATCAAAAGACACACTGAAAAATAATTAAGGCCATATGAAAATTATAAGGGAAACTAACTGAAAAAATAAGGGGCAAGCTCTATGCAACATTTGTGACAGCTATTTAATACGCCCCCTTTGAATATCAAAAGAGATGCCTGTCCTGTTATTGTAGTCTTCTTCTAGAAACCTGTTGACAGCTACGCAGAAAAACATTAAATTATGGGTAATATAATTTAGCACATGTTACCTATTAATATGAGAAAACAATGACATGTGCGACCTCTTCTAGACGACGCGATGACGCTGATTTAAACCAAAGACATTAGTATTAAAGATATGATACTAAGTAACGCAAAACATATGTGCTCAAATGTGTCCTAAAAAATTGTATCCGTTATTATTTATAAGTACTTATGTAGCCTTTTAACGCTTTGTGTGAACTATATTAGAATTGTATAAAATTCGCCCTGATCCACAGTGCATATAGTTTGCTTTGAGTACTATATTATTTTCTAAGTATCTTTGCAACAGGTAATGACCTTTCGTGGTATCACAGTTAATACGTGTTATTATCTATGGTATAAACCAAATACTGCGGGTGACGTCAAAGACTCATTGGGGGAGGTGGAGGATAAAGCAGGAGGAGAAGTATAATATTTAAAGTGAAAGGTAAGGAACTAATGGGAGACATTATGTGATTGTTTTCACTCATTTTTGTGATAATAGAAATATTGTTCTACATCCAGAAACTACTCTCTAAAATTTGCATGACTGATGATTTTGCTGGCCTGAATAAATGGATCAAAGCCAATAAACCGACGTTAATTTTACATTTGTAATAGAAGAAAGTATTGTATTTTTCCTGAGACATGTTTTACATCCTCGGTTTAGGCCTATGAAGGACATGTTGAATGTAAATAAATTGCGTTCCACTCTTATTTATTGTTAACAGTAAGGAACACTGCGAATAATTTATTACACCGGTTGTTTTAGTTATATAACCAGCTGTTGTCAATTTGCTTGTCATATCACATTGCCTTTGGCCGATATTGTTGTTCTAGAAAATATGTTGCCTTTGGATTTGTTTTTTATAACATTCACAGATTTCATACCAAGACAGTGCAAAACATGGATGTCCAGTCGTCAAGTGATATAATGATAATTGGAGGAAACTCTCACCCAGAACTTGTAGCTTTGATCGCTAGGTAAGCTGCCCTACAATTCTCAGTAGAATGAAATATATTGTACGCCAGTCAGGAAGTAAAACATACTGGGTTGGATAAAATTGTGTGGATTCCGACCTTGTGCAAGTCATCTAATGTTATAGGAGCAATTGTATAATATAGAGCTTATTTACCTGTAATAAACAATAGTGGTAATTTCACAATAGATGCAGCTTATGTTTTTTACATTTAATACAGCAGCATTTATGGACATGTTTTAGAACTCAAGTCTCCAAAATGAAGGTTATTGGTACCAGAACAGACCATTGTGATGGTAATTGAAGTCATATGTCATAAAATTTGTGCTCAGCATTAAATCCAAGTGTCAGTTTGGCCATGTGTTTTGTAGCGATAGAAATTGATCTCGCTCAAGATACCCAAGACTCTCGTCACAGAGCCTGAAATGCCTGAGAACATCCTGAGAGTAGAATTCTGTTGTACTCTATTTTGTGGCCACATTTAAAGACTGTATACCGATTTATTTTTGAATTGAAAACTGATTGTTGAGAGGACAACATTAATTCAGATGGCCTTGACTTTGATTCGAAAACTGATTAATAAATGCAGTGTGCAGCCTACATATATTTTGAACTCTTTCTTTACATACTAGTTTTTAAGTAATGTCAATAATAAAAGATAATGTTAATTATCCACTTTGAAACTTTAGTTTTTAAGTGTACATATAATGTATTCTTAATTTCTTCTTCTTCAGTACCTGAGACCTGCATGCTAGGCAGTGCATGCAAATATGAAGTTCTCAAATTTGTTCAAGAGAGATCCAACCATGGAAATCAAACCAATCAAAAGAGTCTTGGTTCTATTCACCCGACACTAGTGTTTTGCCCACCAATAACTCATGAATTATTTGACAGATTTATATGAAACATAATATGAATATAATTCCCTTGGAGGCCACCCCATCTATGTACGTTTTAATTTCATTAGTATTGACATGGTGTCTAAGTTCTGAGGTGGAAGCGCCACAAAAAGTGGGGTCCTGTAATTTGGACTGGTAATAAAACTTAGATCATGAAATTTTATATCTGCTAATTTACAGTTATTGCTACCCTCAAATGTTTGAAAGACTATTTGAATTGCAAGTCCCAAGTTCTCTGCTTGCTGAGAAATTTATTATATGAACATGTTGTACTTCATGGTCTCATGCTGTTTTATAACTTTCTTGTGTGTATAAGAGATAATTTTGAGGTATGAAATGATTTAATACTTGTAGTATGATTTTTCTTTTCTTTTTTAGTCGTCTGGGTGTGAAAAGCGGTGGTTGTGCTGTTTACCACAAGACAAACCGTGAAACCATGGTCGAGATTGGAGACTCAGTACGAGGAAAGGATATCTATATAATCCAGACGGGAACAAAGTATGTTATGACATAAAATGAAGAAGCTTTATACCAATTACTGATACATGAACATGCTTACTTTTTTCATGTAAAGTAACAGAAACTTTTAAAATTTACAACATAAGTTTCATTCCTAATTAATGATCCTAAACACATTGTTAGTAAGTTTATTCATAATGACAATTTTAATGAAAATTTTGCTTTAACAAACATGAATCTCTTTCTTTCTGTTTTTATTTCTCATTAACATAATATCACATTGTTTTAATTATTCTTAGCCATTATGTATCAGCCAGACAGAAGTGATAGGCAAAAGATACAGCCACATTCCCTCAAAAAAGGACTAGCTTCAAACCTCCTTCTGTTTTCTTTATTTTTTTCTAGAACTTTACAGTAACTAATTAGATGGATACTGAACCCGAAGGTTCATCACCGAACCAACCAAAGCCTTCCACCAGTCCCTGTCCTGGGCCAACAAAATCCATTCTCCTTCAATTCCTATCCTATAGATCACACCTGATATTATCCACCCATCTACGTCTAGGTAGAACTTTACAGCGAACATTTTTACTTTGTTACACAGAGATGTGAACAATAACATAATGGAGTTGCTGATTATGGCATATGCATGCAAGACATCTTCAGCCAAGAGCATCGTTGGGGTGATTCCATATCTCCCATACAGTAAACAATGTAAGTAGCATTAAGTGCAAAACTGAGGAAAATCATGAGGATGGCTGTTCTTTGAGAATGTGTCTGATATATTTATTGTTACATTTAAATTCAGTTACTGTGTGTTCTTTCCATAAAGTGCAATGAATGAGTGGGATGGTCATTTATGCCTATTAATATTTATGAAATCCAAGTAAAATAATTGAATCCTCTTTCCAGTGCAGTATCCCTGTGTTACATCAGTGCCAATGTTACAAATCATTTCAGCAACAGGCTGACCAGCATTAAGAATAGACTACCTTTTACTTTTGGTGCCACCAGGCAAAATTTCAGTTAATTTCTTGCTGTGATGCATTTATATTTGTTGTTTCATAGTATAGTGGAAATGAGCCATAGTTTATACATCTGGATGTAAGTCTTTTATTTCCTTTAAAATAAATTAGGGACTATAAGGATTCTCACACTCTCCCACTTTCTTACATAAATAGAACGGTGCATCACATTAGTTTTAAACACTTGTAAGTTCTTTTTCTGTCTTTCTTTGCTGTAGCCCTGAAGAGAAGTTAAGTTTGCATAGGTAAAAAATTAATAATGCTGATTCTGTGTTGGTTGTGCTGGTCTAGGAGCATTTGCTCCATTGGCTGCGCTCTTCATCTGTAAATGGAGAAGGGATAATGTGTATGCAATAAATTGTATGGGCAAATGATGTATTTCCACTTCATTATATAAGAGCACAGTGATAGTAAAGTAGTATGGCCAGTTTTAATTCATGGGTACATACTGGCTGTGCATTTACATCATCTACACTACTGGGAGGCCTAAATTAACCTGCTGTGCATTGCAGTATTCTTTTCTTAACTGTGAACAGGCTGTAGAAACATGTTAAATGTGTGAGCTGGGTGGAACTGTGTCACTGGTTTTCATTACTACAGACTTGATTATTTAAAGAGTAAGGCTTTTGGTGAGACTCTTGTCATATGCAGGCAAGATGAGGAAACGTGGCTGTATTGTGAGCAAGCTGCTTGCTAAGATGATGTGCAAGTCGGGTCTCACCCACGTCATCACAATGGACCTGCACCAGAAGGAGATCCAGGGATTCTTTGACTGTCCTGTAGACAACTTGAGGGCCTCGCCCTTTTTGCTGCAGTACATCCAGGAGTGTGTAAGTGATATGTTTCTTACTGATCTCTCTACACAAAGGAGACTAACTGAATGTCACAGTTGGGTTGTTTGTACATCTATTTCATATTTGGGAGGTCATGGGTTTTATCATCATACTCAAGATTTACTGTGGTTTCTTCAGTACATCTGGGCATGTGCTGAAATAATACCTTAAATAAGCCACATCTGTTTCCTTCCATTTTGCTCCCAGTTCATCTTCCCATTTAACCTATGCAGTTCAGAAGGTGTCATCATTTACTGACCTCGTAGTTAAATGCAAGAATTATCATTATCTGATTATTGTATGTTATGTTTCATTTGTAAATTTTTCTGCTTTACAAATCAGTACAAGTTTATTCTCTGTGAAATACCATTGAGGAGATGTTTACAGCAAATCTTGGAAGTTCAGTTCCTATATTGTCCATTGTCTTTCCACTCTGAAGGTTCTGATGTAGTAATTTTGATGCGTTACAGATCCCTGATTATCGCAACGCTGTGATTGTGGCCCGGAACCCTGGCTCAGCTAAGAAGGCAACTTCATATGCTGAGAGACTACGCCTAGGAATTGCAGTTATCCATGGTGAACAGAAAGAAGCTGAGTCAGACATGGTGGATGGTCGATATTCTCCTCCAACTCTGTCACGCTCTCGCACAATGGACGTGAGTGTAGGTGTTCCTGTCCATCCAGCCAAGGAGAAGCCTCCAATCAATGTCGTTGGTGATGTAGGAGGGAGAATTGCTATCATGGTTGTAAGTTGAACATTCTTGTTTTGTGATTTATGTGTGAAAAAAAGTTCTCTGTCTCTAGTATATCAGCATGACAGCATATAAGGGGCATGGTCATAAAACTATGTATTCATGCTGATTTTCACAGTCAAAGGATTGCCACTGTTCCATTTTTTTGGGTACTGAAACCAGCTATCCAAATGGGTTTTATGGCTTTCCTGACCCTGCAGGCAAGTGCTGGAATAGCAATTAAAAATATGCACAATCCTGTATGAGAGTTGAGGTTCTTACAGTGATCAAGACGTTGATGTTGGTCTTTACGACTGTAACGCTATTCGATATTTTGAATAACTTCTTTATATGATTCTTGTGGTTACCTGTGAACAGTTAGTTATTTGGTACTGAATGTGTGTGTTCTGTTATTGGCATATGTCAGCACCACATTGACAAAACTGTGCTCCCAAACTACTACTGGCATATGTCATTCAGACCTTGAATACACAGTTGTGTTGTGAATAACTAATTTATTTCTTACTTTGTCAACATCTAGGCCTTCGAATCCTCTTCTGCATGAACGTACAGGTCCTTCTTCATGTCAGCAAAATTTTGTCATTTTGGCCTTAGGAATATACTGTGAAATGTGTAGAGAAGACCAACAAGTATAAAAAGACACAGAAGAAAGAGAACAAAAGAGAAATATTTGTTAACACATTTCATATCGGTGCCGCGATTTTACCGTTAACTTACTCAACTTCTTAAACATTTATGTCTTCCTTAGTTCTTGCATCTGAAAGGGCTACCATTACTGATTTCACACTAGATATGCATTTTTATAGTTTTTTAACATATTAATTGTTCTTCCCTTGTGATATTAAAAATAAAAGACTTAGGATAAGTAATTGTCAGTGATGGGATTGGTTCAGTATAGTAACAAGGATGTGTTCCTTCAGGATGATATGGTGGATGATGTACAGTCATTTGTGGCAGCTGCTGAAGTTCTCAAGGAGCGAGGTGCTTACAAGATCTATGTGCTTGCGACGCATGGCCTCTTGTCTTCTGATGCCCCTCGTCTCATTGAGGACTCTCCAATTGATGAGGCAATTTACCTTGTATTATTATATCTTATTATAGAACTATAGAATAGTAAGAGAAACATATTGTTGGATTCTGCTTCTTTATAGGTGTCAATGGTAAGCTTTTAGGATTTCAGTGATCAACCTTCAATTCCATAATATGGTTTTATGTTGTTCTGGAAAACTATTCAGCTAAAGGAATGCCCTGTACTTTTTTATTAGTACTTCAAACACACATTATAATTCGTGAGATTTGAAGTTCTCACGTTGATCTTTGCAATGTAGTACCATTATCTTTTTTTTGAGGTGGATACTGAAATTTTTTAAGTATTATTTAGGTGTGCTTTGGTTTCAGACAGTTAGTCGAGGAACTTACTTCATCTGGGTGTGTGTTAACATTATAATAAGATATTATGAGCTGCTTTATCATAATTGAGTATTCTGGAATCAGCTGTACAGTTTGTTTGCATTTGTTGGATCTAGCCCCCCCCCCCTTCCCCCCAGAGTCTTTAAATCTGGGACATGTATATATTATCCAGGTATTGTCCTTTGCTTCTTTATGAAGCTCCTCATGCCCATTGATGAATAAAGGAGTGCTAACTTTTGAGTGTCAACAGAACATATTAAATTGTTGATGCAGTGGAAACAGTATGAACACTGAGGGCTGTAATGGCTTACAGAAATGTGAGGAACAGTCAGAAAGTTGTGAAGTGATTCACTGAATCTTCAGTAAGGCTAATACATCTTTGTATAAGTCATAAATTATTCTTCTGCATGTAAACTTACTTTGTGACCAGATATGCAGTTCTCTTCCTTTTTAACAATATGTGTAGAGGTATTCTTTAGCTTGAAAGCAGTGACTGCCTTGTGAGCGTCAGCTGCAGTTTTCATCTCCTGAACTTTTCAAGTTCCATACAGCTTTATATGGGACAGTGAATACCATCAGATTCAGGGTCTGAATCTTCTGAGTTCATGGAGTTTGGACATTCATGGTATGGTTTAGAGTTAAGCATTTTGATTTGGTTTGAAGTTCATGTACAATCGGCAGATTACCGTTACTGCGCGATACAGAGAACAGTTTAGTAATGTGTAAAAGAGATGTCTCACTGAGACATAAGTATTTTAAGATGAGCTGCAAAAATTTGTCACTTGGGTAAAATGATCAGTCTTAAGTATTTCCAACTAATTCTGAATTTATTGAAAACCCATCACATTTAATTCAAAACTTTCAGGTAGTTTGCGACATGAAACATGCAGGCAGACACGATCTTCCCCTTTTTAGATGCCCATTTAATGTTTATTGGACACATGTCATGGCTTACGGGCAGTCTATCTGGCCATGCTCGCCAAACTGTACAATCAGAGGTCTGACTGGCAGCCCTGTAGTACAGAGATTTAGCCTTTGCAGGTCTACACTGCCATAATTTTGGTCTTTTAAACTGTAGGTATAGAAATTCATTTGTAATTTAAATGGAATTGTAAGGTTAAATCTTCTACTTTTGTATGATAATAGTGAATATTGTAAGTGAGAAAGATACAGCTTCTTCTAGTACAGCTGTGTTTGTTGGTTTCAGGTGGTTGTAACAAACACAATCCCTCATGAGCTACAAAAGATGCAGTGCCACAAAATAAAGACTGTGGACATCAGTATCCTCCTCTCAGAAGCCATTCGCCGCATACACAACAAAGAGTCTATGTCGTACCTGTTTAAGAATGTCACTTTAGAAGACTAGGAAGTGATTTCTGCCAGGAATCTCACCAAACAGTTAAGCCACTTCTCTGTGCAAATGTGTACATTTACAGTGACTTTTGATGTAGCTTGGTATCTTTTGTATGTCTGATTGTTAAAATGTCAGTATGATAATTTGTTTAGACATTATCCATTATCTGTTATTTGAGATTCTACTAATATGAAGTTATAAATTTAAAAAGTCCCCAATTTTTATATTGGTGTAATTTTTAATAGTTTATAGGATCTCTTAATACTTGATTTTTATATCAGTGGAATTTAAAATAACAGACAGTGGGTAATTTTCAAACAGAATATGATGATAATACTAATACATGTACAGTCCAGAGACCAGGAGAAAATCCCTGCTAGGAATTTGATATACACGCGTGCGCAAGATTTCGCGGTGAGTGACGACCCATCCTAAAAGCATTCGTTCCACAACCACTGAACGAACAACAGACAACAGACTTTCATGTGTTTTAATGGGTACAGCTTTAAGATTACCTCACAGCGGCACAGTGATTTAATCTAGAATATTATCGCAACACCCACAGAACACATTAGAGGTGCACTCACTACACGCTACTCTTAACTGCTTGATGTTTTCAGTCTGTGTAGTAGCGTAAAACTCTGACATATCACACTCCCCACCAATAGCAGCCCTCTAGTCCACCAGGCAGTAAACATTCCCCCCCGCACCGCACCAGAAACGACTTCCCCCAGCAGGGCATTTCTCGTGATCTGTGGACAGTACCATTGTCGCAAAACGTTAATGAAAAGTTTTAGCATAATATTTTTGGAAGTAAGAACTTGTATGTGTGAAAATGATATATCTTGAGTCAGTATGATGGTTCTGAGTATTACATTATGGTTGTGTACAGTCTGAGAAACTAAAATATTGTGTGCAACCACTTAAAACATCAGAATTCCCTATACCTCTCTCAGTTAAAGGACTTTGTTCTTTCTGTTGCTCAGAATTGGACCACGAGCTGGTAGTTTGGCCTGTAACTTCAAGAGACACTTGCTGTGTGTACCAGACAATCGTAATCAGTACAGTGAATGAATGAAATAATGCATTGTTTTATAAGTAGTTAATGCTCTATTAATGTGGCCTGTCATGGTGTTTCCTGTAAACCAAGAAGTGGTGGTCCTCCAGCTTCAGGGTTGGGTTGGGGGCCAATAGCTCCTCACTGTGGAAAAGGTAGCATGTTTTGAAATTTTGCACAGGATCTTGGACTTGAACTCTTTTGCACAATAACGTTTCGGAAACTAGTCTCTATCACTGTCCAGTGATGGAGACTAGCACTATCTGACAGACCTAACTGAGTAGGTTACTCTCCCCTGAAGGTGGCAGCAGTTCCAGTTTCCGAAACGTTTCTTCTTTTAAACAAGGATGATGGAAAAAGTCCAGACAGAGTTACCTGTTGTTTCATTTAATTGTATGTAAATTTTAGCAGAATAGGTGAAGTTTGTGTTCAGAAATTACCAAAAGCTCTCTGAATGAAATGGTCTGTGTGTAATTTTTAAGCCATAAAATAAGGTGCTAAAGTGTGAAGTTAGAACTCTGGCCAAGATAAGCATTCCTGAATGTCAAAAATTGAACCAAAGGCACACATGTAGTTTGCTATTTGATTTAAATATATCACTCTTAAATTATTTCAAGTACCATTGATCTATCCTGAAGTGAAGTTTTGTTGTTACTGTGTACAAAAATACAGCATGTGCCGTTCGTTATTTTACGATCACTTCAGAGCAGTGACCGAGAGCTTCGACTCAAAGTTAGCTGGTGTGGGGAACCCCTTAGTCCGACAACTCGGGAGGCACTTGTGCCGAACAATTTTCCGTGCTTTCCTCAGTTGTAAGGCAAATGCCCCCCCCAATCACGGAGGCCTTCAGCTGAAGTGATTCCTCCCCCCCAGGTTGCAGAGGCCTTCAGCCGAAGTGGCCCCACCCTTTCTGGGTTCAAACCCCAGAGAACCAACCAACCAAAATCCTCTGCACAAAGGACATGTTGCCTGATGGGATAACCTCTCATCAGCAGAATAGTCAAGGTTTTTCGCTACAATATCCTCATTAGCGTAAGCAAATTCCCGCTTTAGTTTCAAGGCTCTGTTTACCATTTCCAGCAATGCGTTTCGTACGCAGGAATGGTGGTACGTAGCAAGGGACAATGTCTTGTGCTTGTGCAGGACTCTGCCCTTAATTTGGTTTTTGGTTGGTTGGTTATTTTACTTGACTGCTTCAATAAATAAAACAGTGGTGTGAATATTTTGTGTAGAAATTACTGTGTCAGTTACATTCAATCTGGATGTTGAAACTGTTCCAAATGCTTCACCTAACTCTCAGTTATGGTGATTGTACATTTTAAAGATCAGACTTTATTATGTTCAAAATGCTTTGAAAGGAAGCCTCTGGCAACTTGTCCCAGTTTTCCCATCTTTGATCATACCAGCCTTTTCACATTTAAAGATGTGACAGTCTTAATTAATATTAAGAATATGTTTGGGTCAAGACAGAATACTAGAATTATGTTTGCAATGGTTCAATCATTCCAGTGAGTATTGGATGCTCTTTCCTCAGAGTTAAAATGACTGGAGCATGAAGCTGACCATTACCTTCATCAGTGCCAAGATCTGGATCTGGAATGCTAAAGCTTTATCTGTACATTCCTTGTGCCTTTGTGGCACAGGAAGTGATATAGATGAGTTACACAAGGACAAAAGCAGGATTCCTTTTAACGGATCAAGAATGCAGATGTCAAATATATGAAGAATGGAGTGACCAAGTGAGCGAACATAAACAGAAGACACGTGAGCAGAGTGCTTACAGGCGGATGGAGAACGGTATTGCCTATTGACTTATGGGACACTATAGAACTGTCAGTGGATGATGGTGTAGCAAAAACTCTTAAGTTCAGTGTCTGGACAACCTACAAATTGCATTAGTCTTCTGCGTTTGCATATGCAAGTGATCCAAATTTGTTTATTCATGAAGTTCACTTTCCTCTGTCACATCATCATATTTTCTTTTTTACAACTGTTCCATATTCATATTACTGACTTATCCAGATGAACTAAGCACATGGTTATTTTGTAACACTATTCCAAATAAGCTATGTTAATATGGGAACACAAAATTGATCTTTATGTTTTATTGCAGATTTTTAAAGGTACACAGTAAATTTCAATTGCAACACATCATTGTGTGCTATAGTCACTTCTGTCCACATCACCATACAAACTTAAATGTGAAAGTGGTAACATGTTTCATCATCAGTGTGCCATCCATCATCAGACCATCAATTACATATTTAAATATGAATAAATTACTTCATATACCACTGAGACACTTGTCTATGCTATATATATATATTGCAAAGCACTCAGTAAGTAAAATCGCAGAGTTACCAGCATAACTGCTGTGAATATAAAGCCATTGGAACATTGTGTGGTACATCTGAAAGACTGTCTTCGGTGTTTAGTGTGACCCAAAATTAAGTACTGTTGTCCAAGTAATATCTTAGTCTTCCTCTATGTTGTCTGTTTCAGACATAAGAACATCAGACCTGAGATCCCAGCACATGAATCCTTCCAAGAAAACCACTGTCATCTTCCCACGCTCCACACTGATTCCTGTCAACCTGCAGACATTGCAATGAGCTTGGGGTAACATCAAAGCAACAAGAATTAAGTGACAGTTACAACTGGAACATACAGGTATATTAATCTGTTTTTAAGCAGTATTACATTCATATTGTGGTCTTATGGGTTATGACACAATGTAATTATGTGGGTGGTTGCCAATGTTTTGGCAGAACATGCTACCTCTCTAACACCGACAGCATTTTCACAGTCAGAATAATTAGCCTTTTATTAGTATTACAATGAGAAGCTGTATGTAATCATTGACATATGTGCTCTTACTTGCTTGCCTCTGGAAGGAGGTATTTCCGCACCTGTTTCCACTTGCCTGTTGTTATGTTTGCTGTGGCTAGTTCTACATGTGTCAGAGTAGTAACTGCTGCAAATAGAAAACCCTAAAACAAAAGAAATGCCTTCTGCATTTCCATGAACACTATTTCAATACAGGCAGAGAATGAGCACAGACCACAGAGAGGACAAAATCATGCTTAAACTGTGTTAAGCAAGTGCTCTTACGAAAAAAAAAAAAAAAAAGGACGTTATGACAGAATGACAAAATTACAAAATGATAATTTGTACTCTTTGCCAAATATGGTTAGTGTGATTAAATTATCCTTTATCAGGTGTGTGTTGCAGTAGTATATTGCCCAATAGTATGGCAGTTTTAAATCTCCTGTTAACATACAATTAAGGTTATGGATGAGATGCATCATTCATGAAGCAAATATTGAGATAATGAGAAATCCACACATTTTAGTCATAATACCTCAGAACAAGATAACATTGGACACCTACACATACGTTAGAGGAAAATATTAAACTTTATCTTAAACATACAAGTTATGAAGATGTGGACTGAATTGAACTGTCCAATTGTAGGACTTCGTGAAACATAGCAGATGTCTGGGGTTTCATAAAAACAGAACTGACCAGCTCAATAACTGTCAGCTCTTCACAAAAGACCCTGCACCACAGAGTTATTTGATCCTCTCTTACTATCTTGACATCTGCATATCAAATCTTCATTCCATCCACCATTCTCTTCACTGTCTTAAATTATATTGTGTTCTAATGCTTGTAGTTGATGCATCAGTGTTAAATCAGCAGCATTAATTGGTCTGTGTATTGTACCTGGTCCTCATCAGCCCACTGCAGCCTCACATCCTTCCTTGGACACTGGATTATTTTAACGAGTACGCCAGTACAGTGGTTCCACAGAAATATTTGTGAGGTACTCTCCCCAATGACAATTGCTCTGCAGTCTGGATGATAAGAACCAAAGGTTTAAACATAACTGTCACATCATGCAAGTCCCATTTATTTCTATAAAACTTTTTTTTATGCATTGCAGTATTGGATTGATTATCTTCTGGCTTAGTCCAGCATTCCAAAACAGTATGAATACTCAAGTGATGGATGAAGTGTGACACAGAAACATATATTGCTTAATGAGATGCCTGTTTAAAAATTTTAGCTGAATGGTTCGAAGTCACAGTTTACTTTTTGTTCTATCTCACCTTTAAGGAAATGAAGTGAATTTACAGTTCCTGTCACTGGAACCAGCTCTGTAGATTTCAGAATCAACTGTGATTCACTGTCAATGATAAACTTCACAATTTTTGTGCTTATGGCATCATCACAATGTGACCAGCTAACAACTAGTGAAAACTCTGGAAGGATGCAGAACTGTATATTCTTGATATACCTTGAGAATTAAATTATAAATATTACAGTCAAATTCCCATTAGGTTAGTGACAAACAGATGGAAAGCCACACAGCTGTAACTCCTGCAGGAAGAATTAAAGTAGTGATATCAGTGAGACTTAACAAGGCACATTTTATTTTCAGTGGAAAACTACCTCTGCCATATGTCAATTAGCATGCTAATACCCTTTAACACAAGAAAAGTTTTATATACATCTTCCAAACAATCCAGTTGCCTTCCATTTTCAGATACCTGTTTCTAAACGAGTTTAAAAAATATTTTTAATAACAATGATTAATGAAAATTATACTGTAAAATATGGGAGTCCCAACTTTATCAGAAAACTTCAACATTGCTATAAATCATCTGTTCTAAAAAAAAATATAACTAGTTTGATTTTTAACCTGTGTTGACACCTGAGTAGGTAACACTGACTGAATGGGCAGGTATTCTGCAGCTATCAGAGCATGCCAGTGGATTGAGTTTTTCTTACCCATGCAGACGTTTCAGTTCCAAGCAGCAAAACCTGAATCTAGCTTGTATTATTTTGAAGCTGTACATCACACATATCAGTGCAGTCTGCTCTTTTTCATAAGATGTCCACAGTTCCATGCACATAAGCATTTTTTCATTGCTGATGTTGATCCTGCTGTTCTGAAATCCTGTTGAGATTCCACCAACAAAATGTTGGCGAGGCAGCGACCCAAGGTGTAGCCATTGCGACTTTCTTTCAACAAAGCTCCAGAAACTGATTTGCAACTCCTGAACTAAAACAAGGAAATGGTCTTCAACAAATGCTGTTATGACTTTATCATCTACTGTACATGAAGGGAATGTTACAAAGGCATATCTTTGCTTCTCCTTATAAACAACTGTCTCTTCTGCATCTGGAAATGTGCCAATATCTGTGTTGGTAAGGTCTTCAGAATTTGCCATATTACTTTGAAGAGTCAGTCCATCTGCATGTAAACTTTTTGAAACTTTATGCAGCACATTATCGCTTAATGCCAATGTAATTTGCTTAAAATTGTTTCTCTTTGACCTAGCTTTTACCAATAAACCTTTCATCCTTCTTGCCATAAACTTGGTTTGTGGTTTAGCAGATCTCTTCAGAACACAGTTTTTTTGCAATAATATCGGTGACCCACTGTTATTATCATTGGCAATCAATTTGTTGGGAGTTGACGACGTGGATATTTCAGTGCAGTCTGCTCCCATAGTTAGTGCTAAGTTATTGTTACTGATGTAGCTGTGCTTGAGTGATGAATTTTTTTCTTCCAAAAGAGAGAAATCTTGTGATAATTTGTGTTCACATATAACTGCTGGAAATGCATCCTGTTCTTCCATGCTTATGTTATTCTGTGTAACTTCAAGTTTGTTAGCAATGTGTCATATGATTGCTTGCTAAAATAACATTTGCAACAGCATCCTCTGAAACAGCAACAGTGCAATTCAAATTATGTTAATTTAAAATGGATAAACAATCCTCATCACGTTTTCAAACAAAGCTGGAATTAGACTTACTAGCTTCAACAACAGATATTCCTAGACTATGTGGAAAATTATCAGTGATTCAACTTGTATGATCTGATGAATTTTGAGCAAATTTTGCTTTCTTCTCAGTCGGTTTTACTTGTTTCTTTTGAGTATGTTTTTTTAACTTGTGTTGATGTAATGCTAATTCCTTATTCATTAATTGTAATGTTCTTTAGCTGAAATGTAGTACAAGTCTTGTTTGGTTCACTAATACAACCCACAAAACGTTATATTATTTCCACACAAATAGTGTGACAGAAGTGAAACAATGTCAATTTTTGATACGATCTGCTGGAGGCTTCTAAGTAATACCTTGTCTAATGCTTTAGCTTAGTCATATGGGAATTATTACCAACACAAATATCCTCAAAACATGGTTATGTTAGGTAAAATATGTTAAAAGCTATATCATCTTGCGACAAATAAAAATATATAATTCAAGAATAATGGGTTTTAGATTAAATGTACTACCTTATTAGGTTCTGCTGTCATAACTAACACGCAGTCACAGGAAATTCGTTAAATTAAAAATGTTGTCATGTTCAACTTAAATCTGGTGGTAAATGTCAACGTTACACGGATCACCTACAGTACGGTTACTACAATACAAGGCAGTGTTTCGTAGTTAATTCGTTCTACGTAGCGATCCATGGTATGATTATTTACAAATGGCGGAGTGTTAAGAAGTGATGGTGTTTAAAAATCAAATGTAATCTGTAATTTAAAAATGACAGATGTACTAATTATGAAATATTGTGGTGCTCTCCAAATTCAAGATAAGCAGAAGAAGAAGAGAGCTATTGAAAACTTGTCTAAATTTTTACATGAACATGATTCAGAATTAGAAGTGACTGAAAAGATTCAGATATACAAGAATATTTTACGCTGTTTTAATGATAAAGCCGAGGCATGTAGAGAGTTTGCGGTAAAGATAATAACTGACATTACATCTTTTCTTCATCAAGAAGACGATTATTTAATATATCTTATGCCAGCCTTGTTACAACGGCTTGGTGGGCAGGAAAGAATTGAGTCCTCCGAAGAAGTACGTTTGTTGAAAGTTTCTTTGCTACACTGTGTAATTAATAAATATCGTCCGACATTACTGTCATCTTACGTAAATGACATTATCCAGATATTAGTAAATACATTAGTGGATCCATATCCAAAAATTAAGAAAGAGAGCTGTGAATGTTCAGCAGATCTTGCAGAAACTATTCCCAGACACTTCTATACTTATTCCCAGTCACTCATAGTACCTATATTACAGAGTGTCACTCACCAACACTACAGAATCAGGATTGTTGCTATCACTGCAATTGGTAAGTTTGTAAGGATTAAATCAAAAACATTTATAGTATCTACAACATATTTGAAGGCCAAAGATGTGTTTGCATGTTTAGTATGGAACAGATTTTGTGCTTTATTTTTATTTTTTTATTTTTTGTAGCAAGTCATGTACTAATTTTTTACAGGCAAGGTTGTTCGGTATGGCAACAACAAGTCTGTCGATACTGTTATTGGCCCTCTTGCAGAGCGTTTGTTTGATCAAATCCAAGCTGTGCGTCAAGCTGTGGTACAAGTTATTGGAATTTGGCTAGTGCAATTGCCAGACCGCTATTCCTACTTTCACAGACTTTTGCCATTGATTCTTACAAGGTGAGGTGACTCAACATTGGTATAGACATACAGATATAAAAATTAACAACCCTGCTTAATTTGTACACATTTTCACGATCACATGTTGAAGTAAAAGTGCCGGTTTTAGTAGGCAAGTCATATTACATTTTCTTTAGGTTTATGAATATATAATGAAGTATTGAATACATTTTTGTTAATAGGAATTATAGTAATTATGTACACACATTTTGATTTTTTGTTGACCATTGTCCTTTATATATGTGAAAAAGATTTATTGTTTTCAGTTTAATATGCTGTATCTTGCAAATATGTGTAACTGTTTCAGTTTGACTGATGAAATTCCAGATCTGAAAACAGAGGCTCTGAAATTATGGGATGAGGTGGGGAAAGTTTATATGCAAGAAAATGAGAATGAATTTAAGGATCAGGTGGATTTCCTAATAGATGATCCAGTTCATTATCCTCCTTTTGGTATGTTTCACAAATCAGACATATGGTAGAAAGAAGAATTTTTTAATTCACATAATTTGATATTAATAAAATAACTTTGTTGTTTTAGTGAGGCAGTCATATGTTGAGAATATATGTGGAAGTGAAATAATGAATTGTGTAATAAATAACAGAGGATGGGGTTCTGGGAGAGGAGAGAGATAATTTCTTCCTGTGGAACATAAATTATTAACATATTGAAACTTATTTTTAAGAATTTGTTCTATAATTGTTCCCTTGTTAATGCCAAAATTCAGTGATGTCTGATATTTTGGAAGTTTATTTTATGGTTGGCAAATGGTTGTCATGATACTTTATTGGCAGAGATGTTTGTAGTGATACTGTATTGACAGAGAATACATTTGACATTAATAGAAGAATTTACTAAATATTAGTATATAAGTGGGGTTTCAGAAATGTGGATGCAGAAAGCCAGCCTTGTTTTTCAGTAATAGTATGAAGCTGCAAAGGATGGCACTTTAAAATATTGGAAAGGCAATGTTGAATTTTATATGTGATAACTATGAGTATGATTCCATTTTGACTGCACAATGTATTAATTTGAAAAAATGTTGACATACTCTGTATGGTAAAGTGAACAACAGAATTCAGTGTAAGTAGTCAGTTCTTGTTTTAACAGCTGTTTTCCTCGAATTTCTGGTATCAGATTTCCGTTGAGTTTTTATTTATGAAAAATATGTTGGTATTATGGACCATTAATGAATAGCAGCTATATCTCCTCCCCCCAAGTGCCTACATGGCACATATGGGGACAGCTTTACTTTTCTTTACTTTGTTATGAACTATTGCATGCCACCAGAGAGAGACCATCTTTGTATATGTATGTGTGTATGCATTTGCTGCTGTTATTTATTAAAATTTAAAGATTTCATAAGCCCATCTTATCATAATAGAAGTTACCTGCAGTCAGCAGTGCAGATAAAGCTGACAGGGGTGTTTTAGAAGTGTTTGTCAGGTTCTCAGGTAACATTAGATGTTAGTGCTATTGATATATCCTCAGAACAATTAAGCATTTACCTCAAGTACATCTTCTTAATATGTATTTTGAAATTTTAGAAACAAGACCAAATATAGGTTGCCGTACATTGGTGAATCGACATCTATGCAAGATTGTGCCAGCCTTGGTTCGGGAACTGGATGATTGGCTCATGGATATCCGACTCAAGGCCTCACAGTTGTTATATTCACTGATTCTGAATGCTGAAGTGTATATAACTCTTCATCTGGAGAAGATCCTGGATGGAATGTATCGGGCAAGCAACGATGAGGATGTGAGAGTTGTGAATAATGTAAGTTTTTAGTACAATCTTCTGATGTCAGTATGTGAAGAAAATTACATGTGATGTAGATTTGGTAAGCTTGTTAGCATTGATCTTGAAATAATGGTTAATGAAAGTTTTCAAAAAAAATTTACAATTAAATGGTGAAGATAATGACTTTATTGTATGTAAGATATGAGGTTTTCACAGCGGTGAGTATGAAGATTTCTGTCTTCTGGTCGATGTCAGCCAACGTTTCAGAGGTCATACTGCCTCCGTCATCAGGGCGATGAATATGAATACTTTATTGTATTCTGTAAAATGGTGCTTATAGCACAATAACATATGCTGTGTCATTAACCTGTCTGACACAGTTTGTGTGTGATGTAGCTTGCTGTGTGTTACACTAGTGTGCTGCTAAATCATTGACCCCGGAATTAAGTCCAGCCAGTAGCCTTATAATACAAGGATTTTAAATTCTTATTTCCATATGATAAAGGTTAATACTCAGCATCTGGAAGACATCTTGGTTGCATGAATAATAACCCTTTCATTGTCAGTGAAGAAATATTATGTAATTTGCCTCTGCATTTCAGATTTTAGAGATCCCTGTATTTGTAAATATGTTACTTTGTGCCAACAGAAGCACATTCTGTATGTAAGACATATTTTATATAATGTGTGAATTACTTGTATCATGATCCACTTTTTAGGAAATTGATTAAACTTGATTTCAGCCCCTAAGATCTTTAAGTGTAGACCACCAAGTACTGAATTTAATTGAATTCTTTTAGTCATTCGGGTGAAGAAGCAGGTGGACTGATGGTAAGGTACACTCTTCTCACTCTACAAACTGTATATAGTGTTCTGTGATAGAATGTCAATGAGTCATGGCTAACGCTACAAAACTATGCATTTATTACATGTTTGCAGGTTGAGAAAGCTGCAGAGTTGATTGGGTATTTTGTTCCTCCTGACACTTACTGTAAACTTGTGTTGCCTACAATGGAAGACTCAGCTACTGCAGGCCAGCTCCGTGTATTTGCAGCCATTTTGAAAGGAAGTGATAGATCCACACTGAAAGAGAAGTTAACAGATATAGGCAACTTCTTGAAAAGTGCAGAGATTTGCTGGAGCAAAGAGGTGGATGTCACATAAGAGATTATGTATCTTTGGCCTTCATTGTTAATAACAGTATATCAGCATGCTATTAAGATAGTTTTGCTTATGTCATGCCTGTGATACTTATTTAAGGTAACATTGATTCATATCTCCATCTTCATACCCAATTTTTCTAAGGTCTATATATCCCTAGAGGCAACCGAAGATTCATTTTTTATCTCTCACATATAGGATACTTACAATTTATAATTTTTCTTTCATGAGTGTTATAATGAAGACTTTTTCCTCTGAAGCACTTTGATGAGGTTGTTAGAAACAGCTGTGTTGCATTTAGATTCCATGTGATCTGTGTTTGAACAGTTTTATCGTGTTTTCCAGACTGCATATCAAATACAGCTGCTCAGCTGTTGCTCAAATCTGATGGTGGTATGTGAACAGGACTGTAAAATGATTGGTTACCAGTTGTTTGTGGTCATAATCTCTGTATTGGGACTTGCTACAGAGGAGTTTGTCACCAAGGAAGCTCTAGGTATTTTTGAACAACTTTTTCCTGCAAGGCTATATAAGTGGAAGAAATGAGCATCATATAATTTCTTGAATATTTAATCTCAAGTGTGCTTTTGTTTCTGCTTGAGTGAGTTATAATATAGATTCTTATAACTGTGAGGTGTTTGAAAGTGGGATGTTTGTATCTGAGAGAGTTACTTACTTAAGTCATTACCATCTTTCAATTTATTTTAATTATTATCTGATATGTACAGTGCTCTAAGCCTCACACTTACGGGTATTTTTGTTGCAGGGTGCTTCCACATGTTGCAGTCAGTTGAGACTTGTACTTCTCTTCAAAATCTGTTCGAGAAATATCTTCAGCCAGTGCTGCAGGAGTTTCAGGTGTCTGCAGACTCCTGGTCCTTGTGCAGTCCAGAGAGGTTTATATTTGAAGCTCTACTAATTTATGCAGGTACACACATAAAATTATCTGCTTTTATGAAATCAGGTTCATTGTCATGTTTACAGATGCTTCAGTTTCATAATGGTAAACAAACTGCTGTAGGCCCTGTGTTGTTTAAACTATGAAAAATGCTAAAATAATATATCTAAAGAGTTTTTATGCCATAAGAACTGTGTTTGCATAATCGGACACTAGTTATATCAAACATTTAATAGACTCTTTAGCATCTAAGTAGGATTTAAGTTTTTCATGGTGGTGAGTCCAAAGATGGCTATAGCACAATGTAGTGTGGTAAACTTCTACCAGACTACACAGCACTATAACCCAGAAGACAGCCATCTTCATATTAGCAACTGTTACAGCACCCTAATACTGTGGCAGATGGATAAGACATTTAGTATGCATAATTAAAAAACATCAGATTGTACAACATTTTGTAATTATGATCTCAAGGGATCTAGGTATAAATCAGAGGATAATGCTGAAATTGATCTTAACCTGTTGTACAGGAATAAAGGATTTAAGTCTCTGAATTAATGAGATAGTGGGTTAGTGGTATGCTGCTGTCACACATTGTTAGCTGACCCTCCATGAGCCATGAGTCATGGCTGAAAAAGTTATTGTAATAATGTAAGTCTTGGTTTAGGGTACTGAAAGTTTGCAGTGATATTGATGAATATTTGAGGTCTATAAGAAGATGTAATTTGTAGACCAGCTGAATAGCCCTGAGGATTAGAGCAGAGATGGCTCTCGAAACGTTGGCACAGGATATGGTGTATTCACCATTCAGGCACCTGACATGGCTTGTAGCCCGAGAGTCTTTGATCAGCTGAATAGCTGTCACCTGCTGTTATAAGATACTGTACCATGGGCTTAAACTCCATTTTAGTGTCTGTCTTCATTGTAATATAACAGTAAACTGTTTTCCAGGTTCTGCAATTAGACTGCATCTACAAATCATCAGTGAAATTCTTGTGACATGCCTAAAGCCTGAGAAGGATCCTGAAGTTAGGCTGAAGATGTTTATCATTTTGTCTAGTAATGTTGTTGCCACAGAAGAGCTAAAATGTGCCCATGACTCAGGACCTTTCCTGATCAAATTAGTGAAAGGTACGTGCTCATGTTTGAATTAGAAAACATGATAGATGGATAGCTAGCCTTCTAGTATTTTCTTCTATACAAAATTATAAAAATATGACATAATATTGTGTTCTGTGATGAAGAATATGAAAGTATCTAAATGCTTTCATTAGACAGAACAAGAAAATCTCATTCATTATCAAAACTGTGTATCTTTTTCCAGTTACTTTATGGACTGAGCTCTCCTTATTCTGAAACAGATGTATAGTTTTACACCCTCTTATACTTGGCAGTAACTCTCAGTTTTTCATTCTAGTACAGTCACTGCTATTATCAAGTTGCCTTAGTGGTGTGTGTGTGTGTGTGTGTGTATATATTTATATATAAACACACACACACACGCTCCCTGAATTATTACATTTCAAATTCATAGAAGTGTCTCAAATAGGATTCAAACTTGAATGTCAAACACTTCTGTTTAAAAAATTAATTTTAACTGAAGTGTGTCTGTGAGAATGAATTAAAAGATGAAATAAACACCCAGTGTATTACATTGCATATGCATTACCCCCACACTCATTCTTTCTGTCTGTATATTCTGTTTCATTCTCTGCAGATGTAATCATACCAAACCTGGTGTGGCGGGCTGGTCGGACATCAGAAGCTATACGAACTGCTGCTGTCTCATGCCTTTATTCAGCCTTCAAACATTCTATAGACTCCTCATCACCATTTGCAGACCCCACTGTTATAAGCATAGTGACAGAGCCTCTGGTAACCTTGTTACTGACACTTGTAGAGGATTCCTCCAAGAAGACACGTATCATTGCCTGCCAGTCTCTGTGTCGGATGATTAGATTGTTGCGAATCACTGGCCTCTATACTGCAGATTTAGTACACCATGTTTATCCTGGTAATTTACCTTGTAAATGTTAGTCTTCTAGGTTGTAATGCCCTGTAGATATCAGTGTTTTGAGGAAGGAGGCAGTATGTTCCTCCAAAATGTTAATATCTACCTGCAAGTCAACATGGGTGTACAACTGAGTGATGTGTGTTCGTTACTCATTTTTTAATATTTCAGTGGTGCTGAAACGTTTAGACGATGTAAGTGATGATGTTCGTGTGGCTGCAGTTGCAACTCTCGTGAAGTTATTCAAGCCCTTGCCAGCTGACTACTGCATGGAGATATCATTTGGACACCTGGATGCACTGTTCAGCACCATGTTAATACACCTGGATGATCCTGACCTTGGCTTTCAGCATACTATGCTTGGTATGCAGCTACAGCTGACGTGTAGTATGAAGCATCATCACAATTTTACTCCACACAGCCTTTGAGATGGTTTTATCTGACAGATTCTGGATCATTGAAATCTCAACTTTGGGCCTGGCCCCTATACCACATGTCATACCTCATTTTTTACATTTTATGTTTTAATTGTTAATTTCTTCTCTGTGCTTAATTATTAATCATTACTTTTCTTTGTTTGTTTTCTTACTTTCATGCTTTTTACATTTTGATGTGTGACTATGTATTATTTATTTCTTTGATCATTTCTCTTCTTATCTTCTCATCTCTTATATTAACACTTTCATTAATGTAACTTATTATTAGCTGTATCTTTTTTCACTTTGAGTCCATAATTTGAAACGCATGTTAATATGTACCTTGAATGGTCAGTGTTAGCCAGGATTGATTCTTGAGCCAATAAAACAGCAGTGGGTTTTCTGATGACCAATACCCTCTGTATCATATAATAATAGTGTACAGATGTAATTATGTTTATTTAAAATATCAAAATTAATTCCTTTATGTGATATTAAAATCAAATAGATGTAGTTACCCACACTGAAATCTGCTGTTAAATATTATGCATGTTCTTCTTATGTTCTGAGGCTTGTAATATGG